TTGAACAGTAAGATTTTTCATGTTTTTTAAAGAATTCTCTTCTGCTCACCAAGCCTGCATTCATTTGATCAGAAATGCAGCAAAAACAGTAACATTTTGACATATTTTTACTATTTAAAATAACTGTTTTCTATTTGAAAATATAATGTATTCCTGTGATTTCAACAGCACAACTGTGTTCAACATTGATAATAATCAGAAATGTTTCTCGAGCAGCAGATCAGCATATTATACTGATTTCTGAAGATCATGTGACACTGAAGACTGGAGGAATGATGCTGAAAATACAGCTGCACATCACAGAAATACATTACACTTTAACAGATATTCACACAGAAAGCAGTAATTTTAAATAGTACAAATATTTCCAAATGTTACTGCTTTTGGTGCATTTTGAATCAAATAAATGCAATCAGATAAACATGCCATCTAAACTATTCTGAAGACAGTCGGGTCCCTTCAGAGATACATTCATATAAAACACCCGCGCCGTGTTATGATTGTGAAACGTGCAGCGCTCATGTTTATTCAGCGAAGTCAAACGCCACAAATACATCAATGTATGGGAAACACTGGTAATGTATATCGAAATATCGGAAATGTGTTTAAAAATCATATCACCGTTATTGAAAAGAATTATATTGCGATACATATTGATATTGAATTATTGTCCAGCCCTAATACAAGTTTTTAATTAGTTTTTAATACACTTAGATTTTTTTTTGATTTAATAATAATTACATTTATTTAAATAAAGAGCAATTTGTTCAGTAAAACATTGTTTAATAAAAAAAAAATACATATATACAGTATGTTTAGTATTTTTTCCTCCTGCTGTACCGAAACCATACCGAACCGTGATGTCAAAACCGAGGTATGTACCGAACGTCATGTTTGTGTACCGTTACACCCCTAAAAACAGTGAAATATTATTATAATCTAAAACAGCTGTTTTCTATGTGAATCTCTGTAAACTGTAATGTTGTTTAACAGTTTTTAACAGAGTGACTTTTTCACAATGCTGTAGATATGATTATTTTCTGCAGCACAACTGTGTTCAACATTGATAATAATCAGAAATGTTTCTCGAGCAGCAGATCAGCATATTATACTGATTTCTGAAGATCATGTGACACTGAAGACTGGAGGAATGATGCTGAAAATACAGCTGCGCATCACAGAAATACATTACAGTTTAATTGACACAAAAATAATGACACGATACAAAAACCCTTGTGTTTGGGGAGAGATGTGACCTGGATGTGTTGAGGAAAGGTTTTGCGTCTGACCTGCGTCTGCTGTGCCGCTGATAGCGGACTCTTGAAGGCTTTGGCCATGATGCGCTTGATCTCCACTCCCGTGCCGTTGCGCACACACATGGACCGGTCCCACTGTATCCGGTGATCCGGCTCACACGGGTTGAGCCACGACAGCTCGTCCTCACACACCAGCAGCGGCGGAGCGGGCCGGATGAACTCGGGCCGGAAGTGGCCTGACAGACGAGATGAAACGAGACGTTTAGCTGCATCTGCACACCAGTTAAACGATCAGTTCACTTCCAGAATAACAATTTCCCGATCATTTACCCACACACGTCATCCAAGATGTTCATGTCTTTCTTTCTTCTGCTGAAAAGAAATTAAGGTTCTTGAAGGGGTCATCAGATGCCCATTTTCCACAAGCTGATATGATTCTTCAGGGTCTTAAAGAAAATACTTTGGTTAAAATTTCTCAATGGTAGTGTAAAAAACACCCTTTTACCCTGTCAAAAACAGCTCTGTTCACAGCGAGCCGTTTCAGTGCATGTCCCTTTAAATGCTAATGAGCTTTGCTGACCCCGCCCCTCTCTTCTGTGGGGTGTTGAGCCGTACTGTTTACTTTAGCCGCAGAACTTGCTAACTAGCACATTATTAGGAAAGGCGATTTGCAAAGATTCATAAAAAACCTTATACTCAGTTCTTCTGTAGGTGAAGCTGGATCACAAATTATTCACGCAAACATAAACACATTTATGTAGATCGGGGGCGCGTTCCCTTCAGAAACAAATGTAATCCACTGCGTCTTCAGCGGCTCAGATGTCGAGAGTAAATGAGGACTGCTGTTCATTATTACATCCAACAACAGAACACCTCAATCGCTTAGGAGTCATTCTTGTCTACATCTGCTCCGGCTGACGACAGCTCACTCAGGGCGGAGCTGTGATAAAACGCTACTGTCAATCAACAATCGTGGGAGGGGCCTGGGTCTCTGTGACGTCACACAGCCAAGAATCTGAGAACGGCTTGATCTGAGAAAGGGGTTATAGTTTTTAAGGATAAAAAATAAAAAAAAGCACTGGGTGGATTTTTATCATTATTGGGTGGATGTGCACACACACTGCCAACACACATTTATGTTCAAACAACATGTAAAAGTGAATTTTGCATCCGATGACCCCCTTTAAGGAAAACATTCCAGGATTGTTCTCCATATAGTGGACTTCAAAGGAGATCAATGGGTTGGAGGTTAAAATGCAGTTTTAATGCAGCTAATGCGGACGAGCATTTGAGGTTAAAAAGTATATACATTTTAAATATCTTCAAGAAAATGAGCGATTGTTTAGCTAGATAAGACTCTTATTCCTCGGCTGGGATCGTGTAGAGCTCTTTGAAACTGCATTTTAACCTTCAATCCGTTGAGCACCACTGAAGTGCACTATATGGAGAACAATCCTGGAATGTTTTCCTTAAAAAACGAAAGAAAGAAAGACTTGGACATCTTGGATGACATGGGGGTGAGTAAATGATCAGGAAATGTTGATTCTTCTCCTTTAAAACACATCAGAAACACGAGCATGTCACACTCACTCTCCAGAGGCGGCCGCGGGCCGGTCACCAGAGACTCTGTGATCTGATTGGCCACGGAGCTGTCGAAGCCCGAGTTAGAGGAGTCTGGGTCGGGGTCGCTGAGCAGGCTGGGAAAACTGGCCTTACTCTGAGTGGGCAGCTCCGACTGACGCTCTGAACCAAAGACACAAACCATCAGTGAAACTCATCATTATACATCTCTGGAATACTTATCGCTCAGCTCTTTATATAAAGTTGGATATAAAAGTACATCCAACTCAAACTCAAAAAGCAGAAATGTTTCACCCACTGCTTCTCCAAACATTTGTATGAGGAATGGCGGTACAGAATTTCAGCTTCAACAAGACCCACAGCAGCTGTTGCTTTAGTCTAACTTACTCAATCTTGTGCACTTTTGCAGACATTTGGAAAGATGATTTAGCACAAGGCTGCTCAAAATGTAAAAGTGATCACCGATGGAAACTTTTGGGTGAATCTAAACAGATTTCAGATACGAGTCGTGTCTTAGACCGCCGGTCAAATTTGGGAATAATTAAGATGTTTTACTGCTTTTGAAAGAAGTCTCTTCTGTTCACCAAGGCTGCAATTATTTAATCAAAAATACTTAAAAAAATGTGAAATATTATTGCAATGTAAAACTACAGTTTAACACATATTCACATAGAAAACAGCTATGTATTCCTGTGATGCGCAGCTGTATTTTCAGCATCATTCCTCCAGTCTTCAGTGTCACATGATCTTCAGAAATCAGTATAATATGCAGATAAGCATAAATTAAAAGCAGTATAACAAATACTAACATGATGTATAATATCATATGCATAATATGATGTTTGTAATATTATAAATGTCTTTACTATAACATTTGATCAATTTAATGAGTTTTTGATTAATAAGTGCCTCTTTTTTTAAATCTAACTTACTAACTTTTGAATGATAATGACTCGAAAGCGGGCCTCTAGACGTACACTCAATTTGCTTTCGAGAGGGTTCCTCTAGCTGAAGGGATCCCCCGAATTTGGTGCGGATTCGCCGCGCCTTTACGGAGATATGGCCGTTGAAAGTTTTAACTTAAGCTTTAAAGTGTTTCATCCAGGTCGCCAGTAGCAAACAATGGAGCGCGCTCTGCTGGACAAACTACGTAATTACACCATTTCAAGCATTTTATCTGCGTTATATGTTCTGTAAAAAAAAAATTTCATATCAGTGGCATATTCGCCGATACGGATATATCGGCGACAGGCTCATATCGGCCGATAATATCGGCTAAACGATACATCGGTCGGGCTCTAATTATTATATTCTAATGTGTTTGGCTTCCTCAAACACCAGTGTGAATGTAGTTTAGACTTAGACAGTAGATCACAAATAAAAAGAGGGTTGAGTCCACTTTAAAGTTCAGGTTAAAGTCAATTCACTGACTTGCTTTTGACTCAAGTTTTCTTAGTTAAGAACATTGGGTTGGAGCTCTTAATTTTGACTCTCAAAGTGCATTAGATAGAATAATTTAACTTTAAAATGTAAAAAATATTTGTACTACTGAAATACTTTTTCTCTTTTTAAATATTGTAATAAATATCGTATCGTGGACTTCATATCGCAATATTATCGTATCATGAGATTTTGATAGTTACATCCCTACTGTCGAGTAGTCGTTTGATCTCATGCAAGAGCCTGCAATAATGCGGTCTGACCAGTGTGGCGCTGTAGCGCAAGACTGTAATTCAGCCAAGAGAAGAAGACACAGCACTTCAGAGCAAACGCAGCTGAACCTGAAGCTGCTGAGCGGCGTTTTGATGAATCTGTAAATATATGCTCTGCGCTTTCCTCTCAATAACGAAATAAACAACAGAAACTGACAGCGGTGAGAAAGCAGCAGTTCAGAAAGCATCTGATTACAACCATGTGGGTGTTTGTTCAGTACTCCAGTAAAGTCCAGTCACGTCACATTTATTTATATAGGCTAGTACTTTATGCAGTAGACAGCCTTAAATCAAGCAGCGTTACAGCATTACACATGAAAAACCAGAGTCAGTGTCGCTTTCAGTTAGAATTACTAACTTTCATTAATAAACCAGGTTATTTCCCAGTAGTGATGTCAAAATATAGGCCCTGTCCCAAATGGAACACTTCATGTGCACTTGCGGTCTTACGGACTTACAATGTCCGCCGCATGTGCGTGTCCGTTAAGTCCACGAGAACGTAGGGTGTCCCATTCGTCATTTTAGCATTCAGAAAGGTGCTCGCGAGCGCCCCCTTTGCGGCTGTTATGTGCCCTCGATCCGCACTTCTGCTGAGCCCGCACTGGTACGAGCTCCGCAGCAGACTTCTACCCGACAGTCAAAGCTGCATTACGTCACGAAAGTGCGGACTCCGAGGAAGACTGCGAGGGGTTAGGGTGCCATTTGGGACAGGGCCTCAATCATTTGTGTATCTGACTCAGAGTATTCAATACATTTGTCAGTTGTGATGTTAAATTAAGCTTGCAACATGTCAACTTACAGCTCATATATTATCCTCTCATGCAGTTATAAACGCAGCATGAAAAAGTCTGTCAGAAAACGGGTTACCGCGTTTACATGACCAAGTGCGTTTTCGGCTTATTAAGCATAATCGGCTTAAGACTGTGCATGTAAATGCACTCAATGATACAGTGTTTCCTTGGTTTCCGCTGTAAACAAAGCAGCGCTGCGCTTATAAACTTTAATATGCGTTATACAGAGGCAAGATGAAAAGAAAATGCCATCTAAACGTTTCTAAAGACAGTCAGTTCCCGTCAGAGACACATTCATATAAACTCCTACTCCCAGGGTTTCTGCAGACTTGAACAAGTTACATTTAAGACCTTTTTAATACCACCTTATATGAAATTTAAGACCTAAACCTGTAATGGAAATACACATTTTATTACATGCATATATGTAATATTTAATAATTATATAAATTAAAAAGACAAAATATCAATGCTGTAATAAATGGTATTTATTAATATGATATACAGTGAACTTTTCATGTCAGCAGACAATATTCCATACAAAATATCCCTGCATCGCTGAGATTTCTGGTGGAGTAAACAATTTATTCTGAAGCAATATTTTCATCAGTGTTCTATCAGCTTTTACATACTTAAATCTGCATATTTACCTTTACAAAGGCCTATTTTTAACCTTTTTAGATGTATGCATCATCTTACATGTCAAATTATTACAATTTATCAATGCATTCAATATACACTATAGGGTTGCTACCAGTCAGATTAAATAATTTACACTGCAAATAATACTTACAACTGCAATAAATAATGTTATGAGCTTAATGTGTTAAATACATTTATGAATATACAAATAAGAAATGTTGAGGGGAAAAATGCATACTTTTCAACAAACTTCTCAGCTGAACTACCAGTGAGTGGCGGTAAGACACTGAACGATCATTCACTCAGCTGATTGAGTGTGTTATCATGCTGCTATCTTCAGGACTTTCGTGGACAGCCGACTCCTAAAGTTTTTGATATTCTTCATATTCTGTGTGGTGGTCAGATACGTTTAAATAGATTTGACCTTTTATGGGCATTTTACCTTTATAAAGCCATTTTTCTATAAGTGTGCATTATCTTTTGAGTCAAATTCTTACATTTAATCAGTGAATAAGAATAAGACATTTGGGCTGTTACCAAGCAAATTAAATCAGTATCAATAAAATTCATCTTTGCAATCCAGACTTAAGCAGCATCTGAAGTGGCATTTAGATGTGTTTACACACAGTTTAATGCAGGACATGAATGCTTTAACCTGCAGTTACACATGCATAAATAATGTTTTGATATATTAAACATAAAACATTGAATACTGATATTTGAAATAATTTTAAAATGAAAAGATACTTTAAATGTGAAAATTTAAACGCTTGATTCATTCGGGAACGAAACACCGTCATGTTGCTCAGAGACGCAAAACAGCGCTGTGGCTTTGTTTGGAGTTATTTTTGTTGGCGAAATAGTGCAAAAACAAGCAATACGGTGTCTAAAACGCAAGTCTCTTCTAGTTTATTGAACTGTTGTAAAAAAATCAATATCACATTTGTATATGCTAATTTTTGGAGAAAAAAAGGCAGTCTTCCGTGTGAAGTTGAGTATAAATATACACATTTTCTGCCCCCATGTCTTGAATTAGAGATCCTTCTGAATGTATTTTAGAAGACTGAATCATGCAGTGAAAGAGCGCACTAGACTTCTCGTAATGCGTGCACTCTGTAGCGGTTTTGAATGTTTGTTTGTTTTTTGCATCGTGAGAATATTGAGTAAAATAGCTCACTTGTCATGGTGTTACTTAACTATATCATGTTATGAATAAACTAAACATTGTGAATGTTTACCTCGGTGTGTTTCTTCTGAGTTTATGTGTGCGGTCACGCTCATTTGTTCTGCAGTCTCGAGACAAACAGAGCCTCTGCAGCGCGAGCTTGTGTTCTGTGTTCTGCAGTTCTCTCTGACGACGCAGTAACTACAAATCCGGCTTTACTTTACATATTTTAAATAACATGCTGCAAAACCGCTGTTCCTCAGTATTTCTGTCTCGGTTCTCGGAGCAAATAACATTAATTCAAGATTTACTGGAGATACAAAATGAATATAAGAAGTCTTATTTTCTGAAAAATGTATCAAATTTAAGCGAGTTTTTGCTTGAGACAAGAAAAAAAATGTTGCCAGTTAGAAAAATCTGATTTATTCAAAGGGAGAATGTTATTTTTATTAGGCGACTGGCAGATATTTCTTCAGGTTGGAAGCAAAAACGCACTTCATATTATAAGGAAGCCTGTTTCCACCACGGAATAAAAAAGGTAATTATTTCACATTTCTGACTTTTGTTTAATCCGGATTGTCAGCTATAAACTTGCAATTGCAAATTTGAGGAAAAAATACTTTTCTAACAATTGTGAGTATTGAGAGTTCTGAGGGAAAAAAGTAACGACTTAAAAAATTATCAAGTGGCAGAAATGGGCTTCTATAATTTTGATTATTTTTTCAGAAAACGAGTTCATATGTTTATTTTACTTCTCCAGTAAATGCATCTTGATTTAAGGATGTTTAGATATTTATACTGGAAAACAAGACAAAAAAAACAGCATAAATATTATAAAATGACTAAAACACACTGAACACGCTCTCTCTCACAC